AAAAAAAAAAAAAAAAAAAAAAGCTTTGTACCTGCTCCTATTACAGGTATTTTTTCCTTGCATTTTTTGTCACATATATCTGCTTGTTTTCCATACAAAATCAATTTATCACTTATCCCTACACGGTAAAAAGAGGCCAGTAAGAATGTAACCTGATGTGTTTTTTGTTTTTTAATAACAGACTGAGTTTCCAGGCATGAGGTTTAACATATCAGGGGTTTTCTTTTATTTATTTATAAGAAAATCGGTTATGTATGTGATCTGCACTTTTTCAGTAGAATATCCCTAAAACCTACAAGTGATACTGTGATTATGCTTTAAAGTACAAAAAAACCTCTGCCTTTAAGGAAATGTTTTTTATTTATATTGAATTCAAGCTAACTTGAAATTAGAAACGCCCATGGGGTTTGTTCAGAATCTACGGTCAACTTATGGTGTCCACTGAAGCTGACCATTAAAAAAAAGTTCAAATTAAGAATACTTGACAAAGATTTCTTTTGATTGAAAACAAACAAATAAACAAACAAAAAAAAAAACACCAAAACCCACAACATCTTAGCACTTCCTATTACATTTCTGCAACACAGATCTCTTATTTGCTTCTCACAGCTTTCTAACATATATTAAAGGACAACATGAAACAGGGATAATGCTATTATCCCAGAGCATGGTGTCACTCTTGCAAGGCTCTCAACCTCATGGGGAATTTCAACCACTCTGATATCTGCTGGGAAAAGAACACGGCAAGCTGCGAACAATCCAGGAGATGCCTGCAGTCCACTGAGGATAACTTCCTGTTCCACGTATTAGACAGACCAACTAGGGGCAAAACATTATTGGACCTGGTGCTCACTAATGCAGAGATCGTTAAACAGGTTAGGACTGGAGGCAGCCTGGGTGTAGCGACCATGTGCTGGTCAATTTCATGATCTCAAGGAATATGAGCTGGGCAAAGATCTCATAGGGTAGTGAAGCACTGGAAAAGGTTGCCCAGAGAAGTTGTTGTTGCCTCCTCTCTGGAGGCCAGGTTGGAAGGGGCCATGGGCAGCCTGATCTAGTGGGTGGCAACCCTGCCCAGGGCACGGGAATTGGAACTAGAGAATCTTAAAAGATCCCTTCCAAAGCAATTAATTCTGTGATACTATTGCTCTATCATAAAATCTAGAAAAAGCGTACATGCAGTAACTTGACTTGGCTTTTACACCAGTAGGAAAGAGTATTCTCGTGTGTAGGCCATATGTAAGCTGTGTACAGCATTGTAACGATGAATAAATAGACAAAGAACTCATTTACATCTCATTTTGCAGATGAAACAATTGATTAATATGAAAATTCACAGAGTGCATGTCTGTAAATTGTTGACTGAAAATTACACTTGGAGACAGAGAAAGCAATCTGGAATTATTTTAATACTGTGAGACTAAGAATGAACATCTCAGAGCTGCTACACCATCAATAGGTGCCAAATACATTAATCACTAGAGTGAATGAAATCTATATTATATTTATGTGAAAACATGTGAAAAATGATTCAATTAGAAAAGGTAAATTTGATTATTTCCCTTAAACATCCCACAAAAAAACCCAACACTTATCATGACTTAGTAACTACTCCCAACCATCCTGCCTTCACAAGCATCTCAAAATGCAGGCAGGCTCACCTCAGCAGAGCTTTACCAGTAAGAGACTGTAGTAAGTGTCATGTTAAAACAAAGCATTTTATGATATTATGTAAAGTATTACATAGACTTTATGGTATTAACAAGAAGTAATACAAATATATATATATATATAAAAAAAAGAAACAAGAAACAGAAACTTGGGCATCTCTGTTTAACTCAATCCTTCCTACAAGCCTTGACAGTGATTGACAAGTCTTTGAAGTCCTCCATCCCTGTAGTTTATTTTCGCCTGAGGTATGAGGTTCTGGGAGTATTGTGAAGCAGAGGATGTCTTCAAGACCCACGGTTGGCATCTCCATTTCTCTGTTAGAGTTCAAGCTGCCCACACACCTTGCCTGTCCAGCAGCAATGAGGTTAAGCTCCATCTAGTCCTCCCTCCTATTCAACTGTCTCGTGACAACATTTTTAGGGCAGATGAGATCAATAAGCCCCTGTGCCAGGCAGTGTGCCTTAGCTTTCCATGAGACAGGTAAGTGGGTCTAGGATGTCCTCAAATACCTATCTCCACTAAAAAATGACATCATTCCAGACAGCCTAAATTCTACCTATGCTCCTGTGTCACAAAACTTCAGAATGATCTGAGCAACATAGCTCATAAGGTAAGGATGTGCAGGGAGAATTTATGTTGCCTGTATTTGGCGTTGGTCCCTCAAGAAGAGAGTTAAGTAATTAAGCCTCTATTGTGGTGACAGGGTTGAATTCCTCCAAAGTATAGTTACAAAAATATAGATAATGAAGCTTGTAGCAACAAGTAGTGCTACCAACTACTAGGATTTGGCAGCATTATAACTGAGAACACCCATGTGCACACGTACCTTCTCCAACGCCAGCCTAGAGGATGCATCACTATTACAGAAGTAGGACACAGGAATCAGTTCTCTTCTTAGCTTGAAACAAAATTATAATGTACTGCACTCATAATGTTCAAATGCCAGGCTGAGGAAAATTTGCATCTGTGAAACTCTCCCCTGGGACATGCTAGACATTTTGCATTAGACAGTCACTACTTAAAAGCAAAAATCTTCCTGGAAGTATTATCAGTATGCAGCTTTCACCATCTCATTGAGGGAAGAAGAGATTCAGCTGCAGCTGAGCTAGTCTTCATGCATGCAGTGAATACTGTTTTGCATGCACAGTGTCATCTTGTACTCCGTTGTCTTCTCTCTTTCCACTTCTTCCCTCCTGTTTTGTACCCTGACTAAAAGCTCAGGCACAGCCTGCTTTGCTGCCTACAATTTACACAGCAGCTACTATCACAGGGTCATGGCCTGTGAAATGAATCCCAATGCACTACAGCACTGTAAACTACCACCACAGGCAGGCCTGCCAGAGCAAATTAACTAAGTATATTTTGGTAATGCATAGTTCCCAATTGCTTCTTAAAGAGTTTCGCTCACTGATTTATGAATGTCAGTTTTCTACACTTAATTACATGGCTATTAGTTCAAACTACTGAAATTCTGCTTTATTTATGCAAAACACTTCATGGGCAGATCTTCTGCTGGTATAAACTAAGAGCTTCAAAAGAAAAACAGTTTATATAACTGCCTGTCCTTTTATCCACATCATCTTCTGCCCTTGTGATAACCGTTCCAGTTGCAAGGGTGTAACACAATGCACATCCGTACCTGAATTCTTCAACCTATGGAAGAAAGTATCTCTCAGGGTTGGATGCCAGTACTCTCAGGGAAACTTTTCCTCTGTACCTTGACACTGCATATATGTGGGGGGTGCTAATTGGATAAGATAGGGAAAGCTACAGCTTTTTCTTTGTTCCTTCATTATTGGAAAAGCTGTCCTTACGTTTCAGCCATGAGGCTGAAATTGATGGAGTCTGCAGGACCTCACTGACATTTACAAGGTTTTCCCAGCAGTAGCTGGTTGCTACAACTTGGTCTAGACTTGAAGAATTTAAGAAGTTTCCTTGTAACTCCTGGGGGAAATGGGCAACTGTGAAAAGTGTTGGAATTTCCTGATAATGACAGCATCCTGCCCTATAGGTTAGCATAAATGCTGGTAACAGGAACAATGAAGCAGAAGTGGACTTCACCCATTTGCTATGGCAACAGGGAACTTCAATTTACTTTTCATTTTTCCTCATTATGAGAACTGATAGGTACCTTGAGAGGCTCCTGATATGTTCACATGGAGTTCACATGGTGTTCTCAGTTCTAGAGAACTGAGTACACACAGAAAAGCAGAGAAAACATAACACAGCAAGATTATTTTAAAAGTTTATAAGCGTTCTTCATTACATCCTTATTACACACTCTATAATCATTAGTGATAATTAATGATTAATAATTAATACTAATTAATTCAGCCTATTTTTTGTCATAATTACATCAAAGTAAAATTTTACATACTGTATAAAATCATGCATGGGGAAAATCATTACAAGCATACACCTCTTCTAGCCCACCTGTATCTCAGAATACAAGCAATCGTAACAATGACTTTTTAAAACAAATTAAAGAATCTCGTGACTGTAATGGCACAACACTCAAGAGATACAGTAACCCGAAATACACATCTGTCATCCTGTACATTTTTTACAACAACAATAATCCATTTAATTTTTTAGTAGAATTAAGAAATAGTATGTTAATTTTAGCTATGTCCCCACCACCACCACTTTCACAGAAGCCTGCAAGTAGGGCTTTAAATAACTGGTGAACACTATTTTTATGTAAGGATCACAATGTCTAGTCACGAACTTAAAAGAATATATGTATCATGCCATCTACCAAACAAGATCCTTCCACTTCTTAATGAGCAAAAGCCACAGGATTTAAAGGGTTTTGTTTTCCCCACTTGGTTCTACACATTGTGAGATTCTGCAAGGAAAATCAGCTCAAGCAGCTGCATATCTATTCATGCTCTGATTGAATAGATGAGTTAACTATGGTGACATGCTATTATGCTTTTCTTTTTTTTTCTCTCTTTTTCCTATCTTCTATGTATTCAGAATTTGTCCAAAACATACATCAGGACTACAGAAAACTGTATCTTCCTCTGCCATGCTCGATCAGGCTACAGAAACAACGGTGGGAGAACAGCAGCTACCAAGACAAGTTCAAGGGCCGGACAGAAAGTAAGATCCGTATGAATGGGGGTTTGCTGGCTTCAGCTGCCTGATAGATCATAAAGCAACATAGTATGTCTCTCTTTCTAATTACCTCAATTGCATCTCACATTTTTCTGAACTAAACTTCAGGAGCCATCTAAAAATACAAGTAGCAGACCCACAGCAAATGAAGGGAGACAGTAGCATCAGATGGACACAAAAGCTCACAGGCACCTCCAGCTACATCCAGAGGGGCTGCAGGCTTCCAGGTACACCAACTGGGCTGGTCAAAGACAGAGACAGAGCAGGCAGATGCTTGGAAAATGCTTTGCTGTGGCGCTGTTTTTAAGGCAGAATAGAAGATGGAAATGTAATGGCTAGCAGAGGCCAAGAATAAGAGAGAGCAGGTACATTCAAACCAGGAACACTTCATACAGCTTGCAGTTGGACCAAGCCAGGTGGCTTATCTTAAATTACATTACACTACTGCTGTGCTTCTGTGAAGTCTGAATCCAGCCCCTCATGTCTCACTAACAACTTAGACACGAGACGATTTTGCCTTCCGTCAGGCCATTACAAGGCGCTGCAGGCCTCAGACCTGTCCCTCTAGGAGCCATTTTATTTGGCCACCTGAGCCAGTAAAGATGGCAGGCAGCAGCTCATGACGACGGGCCTGCCTCTGGGAGAGGTTTAGTCACTTGCTAACTGTGCCAGCTGGACTCCAAAGCGAGCTCAAAAAGCTGTTTCATGGCAGCGATCATTCCTGGTTGTTGCTGGCACAAAATGCTTTAATCTCTAAATGTCACCAGCAGGTTAGTGCTGCCTTCAGCCATGAGGAAGGGAAGGGAAGGGAAGGGAAGGGAAGGGAAGGGAAGGGACCTATTTTTGATGTTGTTTGCTGTTGTCATAAATTAGTTCCCTGATCCTAGTGCCGTGTAAGAAAATTGAAGCAACAAAAATAAGCCTGCCTTCTCTGCACAGGTATAATTGCTAAAACCTTGGAATTATTTTCAAGTTCATCCTGCAAAAGTTTTCCTGGAATGTCAGGCAAGGAAGTAACTGCTTGTGGGACAATTTGAAGAAATATGTCCAGACAGGCGAGATGTAACTAATCTGTTGCTTGCCAGGAAAGTTGCATGTAAATGCCACAGAAAATCCTGAAGAAATGCCTCATAGCTTGCTTGTTCAGAGCAGCCTACCAGGAGACATCAGTGTGTTTTACAATATGGCCAATGATAAAGAAAAATGAGGTGATGATTATTTTTTATTCCTCAGCTTTCAGTTTGCACATTTCTGGTGATAACTGAAATTGTTTTATTTGCAAGGGCAGCAGAGAAAACAATGGCTCTCTCAGAGAAAAGGAAATAGAAGAGTTACAAACCATACACAACCCTTCCCAGTTTCCTTTTGACAATCAAAGAAAAAAAATACATATGCAAGCATATTTCCATTGTGGATAATGAAATTTGAGACTCATGTCTCAAATTCTTCTGAAAAATTCTTAAATTCTCGCCTTCTTGTTGGCAATATTAAGTTGAGAAACAAGTCCCAGTTTCCCACTTTTAATATTTCTGCAATATTCAAAGATAATTTGTACTTCTCTTATTCTCTTTCATTAAAGAAACAGTGCAGATACAAAATGAGCTTTTAGAAATGTGAAGATTTGATCACATATGAAAAGACAATGTTTGTGTATTTTCATGCGCTATTACAGCATCTAATTAGAGAAATTGACTAATTTTGCTCCTGTTCATTCTGCATACAGGTCTTCTGTGTTTCTCAACTAATTTTGCCTCACCCGTGGCCTCAGTAATGACTGCCAAGCCTTTGCAAGGCTCTTTCTAAGCTTTGAATACTGCCAAGAGTGCAAAAGTGCTTGAATAAATGTCAGGGAATCTAAGGAGCTTGTGTATTGTAATATTTGAGTTTTATCAGGAGCTGAGATTCAATAAGGTCTTGTTTCTTTGCAACAGAAGTTATAACCTTAGAAACACAGCAGAGGTGTATCATTATATGGATAATCCAGCAAATGCAACAAGATAGAGCCATTCACAGACCATTCACAGACCACAGAGCCATTTCCATACTAGGCAGTCACACAAAATACTCTGCTGTGTCTCACTAGGATCGTTACACAAGCCACATAGAAACCAAAGCAGGTCTGAGTTACCATCTTTTTCCGGAAAAAAATATTGTACAACTCACCAGCTACTGAGGTCTGAAGATTATGAATTCAAACAAAAAGCAAATACCATGTCATTTGGGTATATCCTCCAAGTGGAGTGGGGTGGCATCAGGTGGTTCCAGGCAGCCCACAGCAGGATGTCTTAGCAGGATTACTGGAGAACCTCAGAGCAGGAAATGCAAAGCATGTTTATGTGCCTCCCTCAGTGCTTCCAAGGACAGTACATCAGGCCTTTTAGAGAACCTTATCATTTCTGCTTCCTAAATATATTAGCACATCAAAACCTCAGACTCAGATCTTTTGTTAATGATAATAGCTGTAAGCTAGTGATGCCATTGTACATACATATATTTTTTCTCTAAACTTACAGAGTAAGTTTTTACCTCACTAGAAAATGTGGAAATTTTGGTTCTGTGTATTAATCAAATAGACCAACTGTATCACAACTCAGAGATAGAGACGCAAATTTTGTCTTGAATGAAACATGATAAACAGAAACATGATGAAAACCCAGAAACCTCATATTCTAGTTATTTGTCAAAACATAAACAAAAAACAAGCAAACAAACAAACAAAAAAAAACCCAACACACCAACCTAACAATTTCTCAGGTAGAAGAAACGGATTTTTCTTTACGGGTTACGTTAGGTCTGACCTTTGCATTGGATCCAAAATAGCCACCTCCCTAGCCAAATTCCTTGAGTTCTCTGACAAGCAAAAACAGGTTCAGTGACATAACTGAATTTGCTCTGGTTATATACTGGCAGCCTGATACTGATTTTGCTTTTCTGTAAACCCTGAAGAATAGTGCACCAAGTGACTGAAAGTAGAACAGCTTATGGTAGAATACCAGATTGAATCTCTTCAGCCCTACTGTCTGTTCAGCTGAGGGAGAATCAACTGCCTCCTTTTCATGCTAAAGAAAAAACCCTACATATTCCAGCACAGAACCTTGCTTACACTCACAGAGAAAAATTCTCTTAACAGTAAAGCAAATTGTTAGAATAAAAACTGGCAGATAATGCAACAAAAGGCAGAGACAGATTCTGAAGATCCACAAAGGCTGCAGATGAGGAACCTACAGTAAGAGCTAACTGCCAAGCTCTTTATAAAAACAGTCTTTTTGCCTTTTTTTTTATTCCACAAGGTTAGATGAGTCACGTAGGGTGGCATCAAATGATTTTGTAATTAATTTATTAATCACTCACATTCTTTCTCCTCCTGCGAGCTTAATTTGAATAAAAATTAGAGCCATCTCTCACCAGCAATGTCTGAAAAAAGTTTTTCACAGGGAGTTTTTTTCACAGGGAGTTACACCTAAATCTCCACTATGTCCTCATAGCTAGTGAATTTGACTGCTGTTACATGTAATGCTTTGAATAAAAGCACCACGATCTAAACTACAAATGAGATTCAAGACAAGAAATGTCTCTATTTTAGCCTGTGATTCATCCTCAAGCTTTTTCAGTTCCTGTAATGTGTCTGCTTTAGTTTCTCTTCATAGGTTTCTCTGCATAGGTCGCTCCAAAAGTAATGCCTCCTATTTATTTCCGTGGAAACTGCAACAGATACGAAGAGCATAATAACACTATTTGATAGGGCCTATTCTCAGCTACAAAACACTATTTTTCAACATGGTTTTGTTTCCAGTGATGAACGAGGGTCTGCATATTGCTCTCAGAAAAATCCGCACCACCCACTGTCACCTCCATCTCTGTGGCATTAAATAAAACTAGAGTTGAAAAAAAAGGCAGAAATTGATTTACTGACTATTCCAAAAAAGCTAATACCAACAGAATATAACCTGCTTTGGTGCCTGTACAAAGTTGCAGAGATATTAGAATGGACTGGCCATCTGTACTTGGCAGACACGCTTAAACAAGGACAGTAAAACTTTCATTCTTCCTTGCAAAGAATTTCAGGGATGCACTGAATACAACATCCACTTGATTCTGAGGTGAAAAATATTTGCAATTGGAACTACTGTTTATCCAGAAATGAAAAAAAAAAAAAAACAACCAAAAAAAGGCTACATGCCCTTTCACCATTTCTCTTTAAAGGATATAGGAAATGTGCCATCGCCAGTTCAGTGACTTCTGCAAACTATCATTCTATTGAAAGCAATTTTGGAAGGCTTAACTTTAGACTTTTTTCTCCTAACATAATCAGCGAGTTTCCCTGTTTTGTGCTTGTCTAACGCTTTTCCAGTGGGGAGATTCAGCATTCAAGCAATACCACCTGAGCAGAGGAATGGATTAATAAGGACAGCAAAAAAAGGAAAAGCATGAAAGTGATTTAGGTCTCTTGGGTAGTTTTTAAGATTACAGAAAGCCACAAAGTGAAACCCTCCCAAAGAAAATGCAACTTTGAACTTCCTGCTTTACCTGAAATCCACCACAGTGATAATTTTCTACTCTGGTAAAGTACTAATTTCAAATTTAAAACCTTTGTAGTAGCTAAAGGCTTAAATTAACAGTATAGAATCTTTACTCTTTTCATATTTTCAAATATTAAACATTTTCAAAGTATTAAAGTGAACAAGAGGCTGTGTGGCATTTTGTCAGGCTATCAGAAGAAAACAGCCCATGGATTTCATTATGAAAGAGGAAGGTCACGAAAAGTTATCAAGATTCGATTAAGCCTCCTTGATAAAAATGTATCCCTCTGACCTTTCCTTTTCCTATTCTTTCATGAAAGTCACTCCATCCAAAGACTACTCAACTGTTCACTTTTCTGTCTGTAAAAATAGCAAGCAGCAGTGCTAACAATATACCTAATTGACATTTCCACATTAGTATATTGCTTACAAATATCAGAACATTGGTAAACTATTTTTCTCCTGCCCAACAGGAAAACCAAGATTTTCTGCACATCAACAGATATTCAGCCATATAATTCTGTAAATTATGCTGTAAATTACCTTTCTTCCAGTTTGCCCATGCTACCAGCTGAATGAATGTGAAGAGAAGATGCTGCCATTCTCTTAAATGACGTGTTTCCACAGGATTATCTTCCACTAAACCTTCATCTTTTGTAGGGATGTTAATGCTAGTAGTCACTGCTAACATTATATTAAATATATTTAGCAGAATTTTTTGCCAAATCATTGAGACAATGAGCAAATACTATGGAAAGAAAAGAATGAGTAGTTAGAAAATGAAAACAAACCAAACCATGGTCCAGTGAACTCTGGCTTTGCTTTAAACACATTAGCAAATATGTACCTTGCTGCCTCATTTCTCCCACATTCCATAAACTGTGCTATTAACCCCTTCCCTTTGGTCATGGGTAGAATCTCGGTGTACCCATAAGGTATGTTCAAAACCAGGCAGCCTTTAAGGAGTTAACTTTTTTTCCACAAAGGTGAAGAGTTTTGCTGACCCAGGGTGAGTTGGGTTGAATAAAATTCAATTCTGCTATAGTCAACAGGAAAGTAGGAAGGAAAATAGGATTTAACAAACAAAGCATAAAGTCCACAGCAGGAAATCATTATTTGAGCAATTGTTCACTTTGTTAAGAGACTGGACTGTATTAATATCTATCAGGGCATAATGCTGTGTTTGTGGTTTCTCTTTAGTGCCCCGTCTAGTCTAATTAGTTACAAAGTGGTTGTATGGGCAAGTGAAATCTGCAATTGTGTGAGGTTTCCAAAGAATACAGAATACGTATGTCATTGATGCATAATCTGGCACCAGCTTATTCTGGTTAAAGCTTGAGTGGTTAACTAAAATTAAATCAATACTAAAGGAAGTTCAGAAAGCCAATAGAAGTAGCTCACAGAAATAGTTTCACTGACCATTGCAGCTGCTATGGATTAGGCATGTTAAGCGGTTCAGTTTGAGTTAACATTTTTAGCAAAGATACACACAAATAGCTGCCTGCATGTTTGAGTTAAAAGCATGCTACTAACACACACAGCACTGTTCCAAGTAGCAACTTGGAACAGTTATCAATTTCGGTTAGATTCTTCACCACAAGAAGGTTAAAGTAAAGTATATATTTAACACAGCAGTTAAACAACAGATTTTTAGACAAAAGTTCTGTGAGCTTCAGGGGAAATTCTGACATTCTGTAGGGTTTCACAGGTCTGAGGTCTTTATTTATACAGTAATCATAAGCATCATCAAAAAGCAGTCAATAATAACTAGTGAACAAGCTAACACCAGCAACGTACAGAAACAGTTCCTTAGCTTTCGTAGCTATGAAAACTGGTCATAATCTGGTTTCTTCAGGCAGAGCACTCAGTTTACCATGTAGCTATATTTCAGACGTCCTTTTCCCAAGCAAAGAGAAGCACTCACCTGGCTGCCCTCCACATTTGAGCTTCTTTGAAGCTACCTCAAAAGCTAGAATCAGTCTCTGAGAAATGAACTTTTGGTTACAAAATGCAGGTGGTGAAATAAGAAAAGGTTTGCAGTATAACCTAACTTTTTATCAGACTCAGACAATTTAGATCAGTATGAAGCCAGGAGAGTTCTGCCAATTTACACTGGTTTGAATGCAGTTCAATGATTTGTACTGAAGAAGCATTTTGACTTCCTTCAGGATGTGAGCGTGGCCCTGCCAAGCACTATTTCCCAATACTGCTGAGACTAA